GTAGCCCCTATCTTAATCTTGGTTGCCCCCTGTCTGCCTGACATCTTGTGTCCGGGCTTCTGCTGCCATGACACCCGGACACAGCATTCCAAACCCGGACTGTGCGGGTGAATCCTGGACGGGCGGCATCCCTAGGCCCAGCGCTGCAATGCGTTATAGTGGAACACGCTGCCCAAAAATCCAACTTATTATTTTTGGGCAACACACCAACGACGCGCACCTGAAACAAAAGGCAAATTGCCGTGTCTATGCATCAGGACAACCTGGGCCAGCGGGATTGGTGTGAACAAGTCACTTCCTCCCAGTCCAGCGCTCTGTTCTCGTATAGATGAGGAACAATCACACCCATCATGTATGTAGTGTTGAGGGGGGACGTCTGACCCGGTGTGTCAGATGACGGAGAGCGCTGGGCTGCGTAGTCCTATTCAGAGACATGCTTTGTAAAGCTGCCCACACACCTGCCGATCATCGTACGATAGTTGTGGGAAATCCCGCGATCGCACGATAATCGCAAGGTGTGTGGAAGGCGTGCGACCGTTTCTACTGCACGATCGCACGTCTTTTGTCTTACGGGCATGTTTGAAAAGCCGCCGAGAATCGTACGATTTTCGGCGGGTTTGTGGCGTGCTCGTAAGACAAATGCCGCTAGCGCACACGGCCCATTCAGCATTGCGGTCAGCGGAAGCCCCTCCCCTCAGCGGTGATCACAAGTACAATCTGCCTGTTAAAGATGGGCAGATCGTACGTTTTTTAAATTACTTTACAACCCTCGCACAACGAAAGTCGTCTGATGGTTGTAAAGTGTGTGGCCACCTTAAAGGAGAACTATGAGGGGGGAGGGGGTGCTTTTCACTCACCTCATAGTTCTAGCCGACCTGTGACAATGAGACTGTCACAGGTCGGCTCAGTAGATCGGGAAGTGAAAGAACACATACCGGCGTTCGATCCTGTGCCGGCGGGGAGCCGGGACGGGGGAGGGACTGGATGCCCCCTCCGATCCTCCAGCGCTGACTGGCGGAACGGACGGGGGAGGGGGCGGGTACAGCTGGCTTTGCCTCTAGATAGGCGGAGCCAGCTGTCATCGATGTCGGGATCCGCTTCAGCTGCGGCGTCTCAGTATACCGCGAGCTGTAGCTCCCTATATACTGAGCTTAGGGTGACGGGAGGGCGCTAGTTTGTGTCCCCCCGTTACCCTAAGGAGAACTATGGGGAGAAGACTGACCCCGTACTTCTCCTTTAAGCTGCTCATACACCCTGCGATCATCGGACGACACTTTTCATCCAATGATGCCCCGATTATCGCACGGTTGGATCGGCGGTAGACATGTGCGATTCGTTTCGTTCCCAATTCCAGATATAACGAATGCAAACTAATCCGAATGTCCGTTCCGTTCGTTCGGTGCAGCAAAGTGACATTAGAGAAGGAGTTAAAACATTTTTTTAGTCCCCCCTCAAATGTCACTTTGCTGCACCGAACGAATGAACGGAACGAAGTACCGCTGACGAATTTCCTCCGAATCCGAATCGAGCCCACCGACCGGACGAAAACGCCATCGCATGCGAAAATTGTCCGATAATTGCAAGGTGTATGGGCGGCTTTACACGGCGGGGGAGGCACGTGCTGCAGGAATATAATGATCAGGCTGTCGGGTCAGCCAGTGAGGGGGGTTCTGTACTTATTGAACAAGGAGGTTTTATGTTACGTTGTACGGCGCCGTACGGTTAAAGAGAACCTGTCACTAAGAGGAACATGAAGGCTGCCACGGTGGCCCTTTTGAAAATGCTAATTGACTGGCTGGCATTGCTTTGCCTCTGGCTTTCAATCACTGACCCAGAACAAGTAGGCAGATCAGGACTTTTGTCCTTCTCCACCATCCTTGATCTGCACGCTGCTTCCTAAAGGAATCCAAAT